TATATATAAAAGAATATTTTCAAAAGTATTTTAAATATAGTTTCACACACGCACATATACATATGTTTGTATGAGTTTAGATGTTTTATGTTTATATAAATAAGTTTGTGTGTATATGTGCGCATGCATATGTGCATATGTTATTTAAATACTTTTAAAAATATTTCTAAATAAGTAATATTTAAAAATATTAAAACAATTTCAATTACATATAATTTAATAACAATTTAAATAAAAATATTTGTGTTTATGTAATGTATGTGTAATTAATTTTTTCAGTGTTTTTGTTTGCGTGTACATATGTAAATATTATATTACATTACATTACATTATATTCACACTCATATACTCTAAAGTAGATATTTAACATTTTCCATTTTACAATTTTATCACCTAAACAGCTGCTTTTAAAAGCAGACCCCACAATAAGTTCCTTTACTTGAATAATTACCGCATTTAATTATCCTGCTATATTTATCGAATATGCCACGTCAACGCATACTCCAAGAAAGTGTATCCGCAGGCACCTTGTGAAAGAGCCGTGAGATCATTTGTAACCGCTAAAATAGTTTTTTTTGTTTTTTGTCTTTTCCCCCCTTATTAGCATTTCACAGATGACCTTTGCACCACACATCTTACAAACATATGTAGCATTAGCCGTGATGGGTAATTGATATGCATATTCTCACCAAATTAGTGGGACACAAAAAATGAGTATGACACTTCATACGAAGTTGAGAGTAGAAGTGTCCCTCGAGCTGTCAAACCCACAGCTAGACATTGATGGTTTTATCAAATTCTTGCCAAAGGAAGGAAAAAATATAACTTGCTTTTGTTTTTTGTTTTTTCATTGACTCCCTTCTTTCCTTTTATAAAATCAGTTTATGACAAATCATATTACTTGAGTTATTTAAACTGCATTCAATGACAGCTTCTTTTATCAAAAACAATTATGAATTGTCGTGGATGACACAATAATTCATTTGATATGGATTTTTAAAATGCAGGCTTTCATACTTCATTCACTTTAGTGGCGTTTGAACAATAGGACAATAGTTTAAGAGGATTATATTTCAGTTCCTGAAGTTACTTATTCTTTTTCATATTAGCCATTCTCTAAACACTTAAAGATAATTTCCCTAATAACAAGACATTAAAGACAATAACAAGAGAGATGCTTCATGTTAGATTGCAGGCATTGATCTGGTAAATGGATGAAGTGCTTTGGGATGTTGTTATATTTATTGCCTTAGACGCAGTCAAGCTCCCCACTTTCTGTCACCTACAATATTAAAATCCTCTTTTCACACAAAGACACAAACAATAAACACGAGGGTATGAGGATGAGCAATATATAAAATTTTTATATGAATATTATAATATATTTTAAATATTAAATATAAATATTACAATATATAACAATTATAATAGATAATAATAAAAATTGTTATTTTATTTGTATATTTGGATTATTAATTATGTACTTCTTTGTTTATAAACACAAAAATACACACACACACACACACATTATAAAAATTATTATATTAATATTAACATTTATAGCAATGTACTATATATCTGTAATTAAATATTATATTATATTGAAAATATATATTGTATTATAAATGCATTATTTATTTTGTATCCCATTTTCCATGAAATAGGAAAAAATAATCTCATAGACTTTTATGTTCTGTATCAGTTTGACACATGCATTTTAAATATGCATAAATATTTTCTTAACGGGGAAAAGAAGGACCAGTTTTCTTCCCGATCAGACCTCGGGTGGTGAATTAACTTCATTTCCATTGAAAGAAAAATAATGAATTAAACTAGGGAGGCTAACACAAGACTTGCTGTGAGTGGAGTGGTCAGAACTTCAGGGTTTTTTATCGAGCGAGATAGGTGCGACAGAGCGGAGGGGAAGAGATGTAGGGGTTGGGTTGGGGGGGGGTGACTGGGGTGAGTCGGTCAATTTAATTCCTGACAATCTAAAAGAGGTCAGGATCATTTCATATAGCCCTGGCTGAGCAGATCATTACCAGTCACAAATCTGTTCGTTACATGGCGAGGATTTATAGCTAAGTAAATAGGGAGCCGTCATAAGTTCTGAAAATAGCGTGTTGGCCCGGCGATAATAGCTAAAGGACGGTTTAATAGAGTTCGGCATTTATTCGTTATCTGTATGTGGACAGAGACCGAATTGGCGCTATCGCTCTTTTTTTTAATAATGTGGTGGTCTACCGTTGCACTTTTTTCTTCAGCATCCCTCCCCCTACCCTTTCCACCCGAAACACACACATTTTTACCACACACACGTTCTTGTGTGAGCGCACACACTTTTTTTTTTACTTTTTTTTTTCGCACGCGAATACTCTGCGGAATAGTTTCGATTTCAGACACAGCAGAAGGCATGGCCACGAGAGATTGGGCAGGTTTGAGCCGGCGTGGACCAGATTTTACAGGCTACAAAGGAAGCAGATTACCACTTGTATCGAGTTCCGTATTGGAAAAAAAAATCTTTGTTTGAAAATCCGCTGATTATCATAACAGAAAAATTGCAGCAGTGCCGTTTCGAATAACAACCACATAAAAAAAAAAAACGAAGGAATGAACTCATCACAACATAATTAAACAATTTCGCGGGGGTTTTTTTTTTTTTTTAGCTTTTTGTTTTTTTTTGCCGTTTCTCGAGAAATGCTTGCGAGTTCAGGTAAAGCAACAAAAGACTGGTTGTCTGGTTTGGTTTAAAGAGGAAAAACACGGCAGAAAAGAACAACAGCAAGCTTAAAGTCTTCCAGATTCTCCTGGTAAATCCTCGGCGAGGACTCGCAATCATCCAAGCAGCACAAATATGATAGAACAAGGTTTGTTTGCTGTTCATTGAGACGGTCTGCAGGGTTGTGTTTAGCTCGGGTGGGCTCACAGCAAACCTAAATAGCCACTTCTATAGCGTATTCACAAACATTGGCCTTTTGAATAATGCAGGCAATGCATTAATAAAACTACAAAAATAATACACAGCTTGGAGCGGCTATGTAGCCTGACTTATTTCCTGGTTCTAATTGTAGAAGTAAATTTTTTTTCTACTTAATATTGGATTTTATTTTTTAAATGTCTTTTTTTTCCTTTTTTTTACCATAGCATGCTTATTGTGTTTTTAGGATATATGTAATGTAACTTTTATTCTTTTGGCACATGACCCCAATGATACATTTAAAAAAAATACTTTTTGTATTTCATTTTTATATTTTATTTTTAATAATAATAATTTTATTTCCTACGTTTTAATTTTAAATGAACTGTTTTTAATTCATTGCGTACAATTTATAGTTAAATCATTATTTATATGATGTCTTTTCATTTTTTACTTTTCTTTTTAGTCCTTATTATTTATTTATTTTATATATTTATTTATTTATTGCAAAAGGTACTTTATAGCAGAAAAAGTGGATTCCTAGATTTACTGACATACTTGAAGATGAGCTTCAACCATAGCTTTGTTGTGAACCCACGGCATATGGGAGAAAAATATTTGAATCATGCCGTCCCCACCGACAGCGGCCACCACCACATAGATTCTGCCTTTTGAGTGAGGTATTAAGTTTATAATTCATGATCCGAGTTCTGTCTCTTTTCTGATATGATAGCGAATTATTTAAAAATAGTGAAATTCAAAATGACCAGTGCACACAAAAAGAGATGAGAGGCTTTTAATAATGGCCCAGAGCTTCCCCTTAGATCTGCTAACCTTTAATCTCTGGCAAGAAATGGAGATTAAAAAATCACTTGCAATGGCTGACAAATTAAGAAACTTGTCCTTCCCCTCCTCTTCTGAATATGTTGCGTGCTGCCGATAAGCAACTCACCTTTTGCTGAGAACGGCTTGTGTTACATAAAGAGGCTGTAATGAAGAGCTTCTTTAAATGCTTAACGTACTTGATTAAGTTGAAATTGTTAGCCTCTTTCAAGAGCCACTGGATTCACAGCAAGACATGCATTCTCTCTTTTACTAGTTTTAATATTTAATTCCTAGTCACTTTATTTTAAGGTCCAATTCTTGCTATTAACAAACCATTAACTGACTATTGCCTCAGACCCCTGATTTGGTTCTGTTTAATAGTTAGTAAGGTAGTTGTTAAGTTTAGGTATTGGGCAGGATTAGGGATGTAGAATATGGTCATACAGAATATGTGCTTTATAGTACTAATAAACAGCCAATATGTTAATAATAGGCATGCTAATAAGCAACTAGTCAATAGTGAGAATTGGTCCCTATACTAAAGTGCTACCCAATTCCCTTTCGTCAAAAATGAATTACCCATACATGCATTTCTTTTTTTTTTTTTTTTTGTTCCATGGGAGGTTGTTTCCATAATAAGGTGCAACCGCTTGGCTTTATGTTTATGTATACACATTCGTCCCTCATGGGCCTAATGCATAATACACTCTAATTTGACATTGATAGCAAGTCAAAAATGATGAGCACGTCCTGTAATAATAAAAAGGAGCATTGCTTGGTGTCACTTTCTGTTTCTTAGCCCAGAAGTAGGAATCCTGCGGAGTTGTTGTTAAGAAGCCTAAATCCTCAAAGCTTCTATTCTTACTGTACGAAGTCTGTATTACTGTACCGACTTAAACGCTAGTGTTTTTCCCCCCTCATGCCATATCAAGTGCTGTGATGTGACTGTTTCTCTCCCCCTCTTCCTTGATGATGATAGTTTAGATGTCGTGAGTTGAGAAATCCATTCCCAGTCTCTTTGTTTAATGTGACAGCACAAGAACTTGATCTTTGTTTGTTCAAAAAAGTCTCGTGTTTAGCTTCTTTTAATGTGTTTGTCTGTGATTTCTAAATGCTAAGCATGCAAACAGATAAATCGTCAAGGTTAATTCTGTACCCAGCCGCATGACTGATCTGCTTCCTGCCATGTCTCGGCTTTTTATCTATCTCTCTCATACTCTTTCTCCCTCCCTCTCTTTTCCTCCCTCCCTCTATTTTGTGCCTTCATGTGGCAGTTGATAAAGTTACGTGAAGAGGTAAGTGCTGCTCTTCCTTCCCGTTTTGGTCTTCTCTTTTTCCCATGGATCCTCCATTCATTTTCCCCCTTCGTCAGAATAAAAAAGGCCTAATCTGATTTTAAAGTCTCTTTTGATTGCGCTCAAAATTAGGCTCGTTTCTACATACTGCTCTATGAGGAAATGAATCAAAGCTGTTTCACACCAAACCTTAAAAGATTTAATCAGCTTGTCAAAACATTCACTCAAAATGAAAATGCAATAAGACATGCTGTTATCTGGAGATCTGGATATGCTTTTATTCTCTTTTAGTGATGGGTCATGATGGTCAACTATTCGTCCAACACTATTTGATTAGTGAGGTTAACACTATTTTTTTCCCCCATTAGCATGCCGTGCTTTAGCTGTTAAGTAGTCTGCATGGTAAAATTGTGACTATATTTAAACCATATATTTAATTAGAAATGTCAAGTTAAAATATTATCACAGTTTCATTTAACCATCTAGCTGTTTTTGAACACAGATGCATCTTATAAGGCTGATGTTATATTCTGTGCTATTTTGTCTTAAATTTTAAACAATGAAACAATAAAAATAAGTTGTAAGCTAAAAAACAATCAGTTAAAATCTATGTTAATTTTGAGATTTGTTAAAGATTATATTTAAACAGTCTTATTAAATCTTATTAATGTTTTTAAGATACATTTTAAGTGAATGTTAGATGACAGCAAAAGTAATCTAAATATACACATAGAGGAAATTATCATATATTTATACACACATATATATATATATATATATATATATATATATATATATATATATATATATATATATATATATATATATATATACACATACACACATGCCATTCAAAAGTTTGGTCAGTAATTTTTATTTTATTTTGTTTTTATTTTTTGAAAAAAAAGAAGTTTTTATTCAGCAAGGATGCATAAATTCATCAAAAGTGTCAGTAAAGACATTTATAATCAGAGAATCCTACAAAATTTTCCACAAAAATGGTAAGCATCACAACTGTTTTCAACGTTGATATAATACATGTTTCTTGAGCACCAAATCAAGATATATGAATGATTTCTGAAGGAGACATCAGGTGACACTGAAGTAATGGCTTCTGAATATTCAGCTTTGCCATCACTGGAATAAATTACATTTTGAAACATATTCAAATATAAAAACATTTCTTAAATTGTAATAATATTTCACAATATTACTGTTTTTACTGTATTTTTGATCAAATAAATGCAGTCTTTTAATATAAACATAAGGCACGGTTTTTAGAAACATTAAAAAATCTTGCTGTCCCCAAACTTTACAATATGTTAAGTGCTAATTTCATTTATATGTGCAATTAGATCACCTTTGTAATATGTTTTACAGAGCATTTATTTTGAAAGTAATACTTTGAAGTATTTTCTTACTTAAGTAGTATGCAGCAGGTGTAAACTCATTTACACCATATTAAGTGAAGTATATTTAAGTGTTTGTTTACACTTTTTTGGCTTTTACCAGTAATTTATTAGCATACATGGCTTTAAATATACAGAGTTGTGGATTTTCAGCCAATTGCCGTGTTTTCTTTGTGCACCATTAGGAAGCAGCCCACAGACGTTTCCCCCCACTCAGTGGATGAGAATGCAATAGCCTGCCTTTTAGTTCGAGATAAGGGGAAGATTTGTAATGTCTTTTTGTATTTGTACCATTCATCTGACTTGGAAGTGAGCATGTATGTGGATTACGGCAAAAGAGGCCGTCGTCTCGATCTGCGTATGCTTGTGTGTACGTTCGCTCGCCGGTATCTTCATCTCCTGTCTAGGGTTGTGTGTGTGTGTGTTTTGTTGTTTGGATTTGGGATTCCCCTATTCATAGACGCATGCAGACACACACAGACTACAATATCTGAAGATCTTCATTCATAAAGGAAGCCTCCTCTCAGTGGAGGACTGGATAGCACTGCATCATGCTTCTGCCTGCCTTTGTAAAGACGTTTAGTTAGTGATTGCTTATCTTTGAAGATAACAGTATTTACAATGCAAATTTCTGATCCTTTTTATCTTGGAGAAATTGTAAAGGCGCATTAAATATTTATGGATGGAAAAATGAAAAACCTTATCTTCGCTTCTGTCATCTTATGAAAGTAAAACGACACTTGCATCATTTTACTAATTCATACTACTGTATGTATGTGTCATCCTGTTATGTACTGTAAAAAATAACAACACAAATTCAAATATAATGATCTAAAGTGCCTGATGATTTTCTGTATTCTTCAACATCTCAAAGCTACACCAGAAACGTTCAAGTAAACAATACAGAGCATGCTAGAAGATCACCTTTGCTCAAATAGGAGAAAAAATTGAGCAGTGCCTCTGCTTTGGAGGATCTTTGTAGACTCTTGTGTCTGTGTGTGTGTGTGTGTGTGTGTGTGTGTGTGTGTGTGTGTGTGTGTGTGTGTGAACATCAGTATATTGTTTAGATTTCTTCACTTCCTATTGCTGAATGATCCCATTTGTGGAGCCACACCACCTCCTGCATTTATAATTTACAGCCCCTCACAGTTCTGCGTTCTTTGCTACCTTGACTTGTGTGTTTCTCCTTTTTTGTTATTGTTTTTCTCACATGGCCAAACAAAATGGGAGTATAGCATTTTTTCAGCCTTGGGTCAAAAGACACCTTCAGTGGGATCAGCCACCCCTTGTTTTTACCCCAGAATGTGTATACACTTATATGTGTATAGCTGCTTTTAAATCACGTTTTATTTTTTCCTCCCATTTTACTGAATTTGAATCAAAGCCTGTGCAGCTTATACACACTTAGCCTGTTTTTAAAACTGTACTTTTCCTCAGCTGGAAAACATGTTTAAATATTTAGCACCCTTATTCACAGCTGTTTGACACTTGTAATTCCTTTTCTTACAAGTCCCAAACAAACGGTGGAGAAGATCACACATAGTCAGTCTGAATCATAGCTGTCATCATTATTCACTTTGACTGTGAAAATTGCGATTGTAAGCGCTTGTGTTTGATTTGAGAGAAGGGAAGACGATTCTTTTGTCACATTCGCATTGTTCCTGGGTTCCACGTTAATAACTTACAACTGAAGTGCGGTTCTTCACGAAAGAAAAAGAAATGGCTAAGAAAAAGAACAAACAATAAAAATTCTCGTTTATAGTATCTAAGAACGTCTTTGTAGAAAAAGTAGGTGTCAGATAAAAAGACATACATACATTGGCACAAATGAGAAGGGGCGCACGCAGAGGCGGTCGCAAGCGCACCAATATTTATCATGCCCTCTTTAAAAGAAGCTTCTGTTGAACTCCATAAGACCAAAAGAGAGACAATTTTGACAGTCCTGCCGCTCCAATAGTGAATAAATCAAGAAAAAAAGAGGTTTCTTTTATTCAGGTCATTTTGGTCTATGAAAGTGAGTGATATGCATCTAGGACTTTTTGTTTTAAGTATGTGAACTGATATGTCTAACGTGCTTTGTTACTCATAATCATCTCCTTACGGGTGCGTTTGGATCCAAAACGTGGGACGTTTATCGAAAACAAATCCGCTGGAGCAAGGTAATTCGTTTTGATAGGTGATTCTTTCACATTTTCAGGAAGTCGCCATTTCTCCGCGCCGTTGTCGTCACTGCACCTACGCGTTACCTCAGTGTGTGTCACCCCTATTCCCCCGCACCCCACACACGTGCACAATAGACATCAACAGCCCACCCTCCCTCAGAAAAACAGACCGACTGAGGGAGTGAGAACAAGCGAGGGAGAGAAATTCAAGAAAAAGCTTTGAAGTGGCTTTCCGGCGCGCGAGTCTGCTGGCCGTCTCCCCGAGACGTGTCACCTTTGCCGAGAGGGAATAGGAAAATCACGTTTCGAATGGTAATGATAACATACTAATCACTTGAGCTCTTTGAAGATGGGGGAGCGAGCTACTCTGTCAGTATCCCCGGCTGCCTTGTGCTTCCAGGCACACAGGCACATCCCTGGTCTAGGTGTATTAGTTTAAGCGGTGCATGTCAATACGTCCCCTCTATCTCAGCTCATCCAGAGGGGCTCATTAGGCAGAGATGGCTCCCTTTTCCCCATATGCACTCCCACCCCCGTTCTCTCCTCTTTCTCTCTCCTTCTCTCCCTCCCTTTATTTCCCACTAACACCCCCTCCCTTAAACTATTAAAAAGTATTTCAGCTATTTTAAATGACATCTGTCAACCGAGAGGAGGAGAAGAAAAAAAAGTTCAGACAGTTTTTTTTTCCCTCTCTCTCTTTCCCTTCTCTGTGATTGTCAAACTTTGAAAAGTGGAATGTCGTCTATTTTTCATTTCATTTCCTTGGAGTGATTAGCCGCTATGTATTTTGACAGGTTAACTAGAACTGGAAACTTGTTTCTCTCGCTTTTTTTCCTCTGTCTTTATTCTTTCTGTGCATGTAAATAGGAATAAAGGTTAACGTCCTTTAGAAATATAGTTGCCTTTCTCTATTATGTATTTACAAATAGAAATTTAGTGTTCACAGTCATAAATGATATGACTTGCCAGTAAATAGTGCACGAATCTTAGTTTTTTTTAGTATCTGCAGTGGGGTTCAAAAGTTTAAGACTACAAAGTTTTAAGAAAGTTTTAGGATTGTGCCAAATTTTAAACAAAGAAACGATATGATGTGAAATTAATGAGAAATATTTCAGATTCTGAACAATTTTAAGTCACTAATACGTAAGTGTAAATTTGTGACATTGATCATGTGAACAACTTTGTACTGACTGGCAATGTTCCATTGATGCACAAGATGCTCTTTGGATCATTATCAAATCATGCTGAATCACATGATCATCAGGTTTTAAAGGGAAAAAAATGGGGACACGCTAAATACATTCTGAAATTCATTTTAATTTTTCACTTAAATATATTTTTTACAAGTGAACTTTTGGATTGCACTGTATTTGATTTTTAGCACTTCTATATTTACTTTTATGAGATATCTAGTTCTATATAAAATACACTACCATTCAAAACTTTGGGGTCAGTAAGTTTTTTTTTTTATTTAATTTTTTTTACTTATGAAATTCCACAAAAATATTAAACAACACTTTTTTTCAACTGTTATAATATTAAGAAAGGATACTTATGCACCAAATCATCACATATGCCATCACAGGAATATATTCAATTTTAATTTAATTATTTATTTGACAATACATTTTTTTGTAATTGTAAATTGTAATAATATTTCACACACCGTTGTTATTTTACTGTATTTTAATGTTGTTGTTATTTTATGTTCTCAAAACATGAGTCTGAGAACACTTCAGTGTTTTCAGTATGGCATCATTATTTGAAGGACATGTAAATGCTGCCCACAGTGTGCAATATTAATGCATCTGGCCCTTGACCATGATGTTCATTTTAATCTTACATTTATGACTTCTGACTTTGTAATTCTGTAACTCAACACAAGACGAACCAACCTTTCCTTGAAAAAGTTTACACACCTTGTTGGTTTGCATTATTTACAGTGATCCCTAAAACATCCAAACTGCACTGTAGAGAAACCAGCAAGTGTTTTAGACTAAAGTGTCGGCATACACTTTTAAAAAATACAGGTTCCAAAAGGTATTTTTTTCACATTGATGCCATTAACTATTTTGGGTTCCCCAAAGAACTTTCAATGGAACAATTCTTGCAAGAACCATTTTTTTTTCTTAGTGTGAAGAACTTTTTAATAATCTCAATAACCTTTTTTTACTATAAAGAACCTTTTGCGCTATGTAAAGCTTCCATGGATATTTAAGATTTTCATTTAACCGTAGATGCCAATAAAGAACCTTTACTTGTGAGAGTGTACACAACAAATAAATAACATAGTGTAACAAGGTTTATGGTGGCATCCTGACCTTGTCAGACTAACAGATATTGGGTAATCTGAAGCAACATTTGAAAATATATTACAGCTCAATTAGCCATCCCTCCCATGCTAATCTTTGCCCTGGTTTTAAATGTGATGTAATGAGATCTGGCAACACCTTCAGAACAAAGCCACTGCAAGAAGGAAGCCTCAATTAAGAAGAAAGAAAGGTGTTAGATTGGAGCTCCGTCCTTTTTTTGCTTTGGAATTTGCACGAAGATCAGTCCAATTTATGAAAACACAACTTATAATTAGATGTTCTCAAATCAATGTATAAGTTAAATTAAAACTAAGTGGTCTGTACCCCTTTGTCCTAGTGTGTCTATTATTGTGTGTTGAATATGTCTCTGTAAATAATGTCCCAGTCTTCTCAATCACTCTCATTGTTTTCTTTCCATCTGTGGTTTGTTTTCAGAGAGCACATCTGTTGGACAACACAGAGAAGCTGGAAAGGTCATCTCGGAGGCTGGAAGCTGGCTACCAGATAGCAGTGGAAACCGGTAGGCATTCTGGGTTGGGGAGTGAGCGACAGCAAATTGTCTCGCTCGTATGCGCGGTAAAAAGAGAGAGAGTGGGGAAAAAACACCTTGACGACTGGTGACATTTTCAGGAGCACATCAAAGAGAAGCAAGGGAGAGAGAGGTGTAGAGCAGCAGCCGCAGTACTGTTAGGCTCACACAAAACACACCACCTTATTTCCATTCACCTACCTGTGCGCGCGTGCGTGCGTGTGTGTGTGTGTGTGTGTGTGCGTGTGTGTGCGTGTGTGTGTGTGAGAGAGAGAGAGAGAGAGAGAGCGAAAGAGTTTTTAATATGGGTACCAAATGATGGCGTGTCGACTAGAATAAACAACAACAGCCTGCCTCCACCGTCCTGCAATTTTTCAAGCTAAATAAAGACCGAGATCTTTTAATAAACTGATTTCTAAATAAAGCACCTTAGACGTCATCTGATTCGCACCTGTCTGAAGGTTAGTTTTTATCTTTAAATACAAGAAAATGAACAAATTTAGATCTGAAATAGATTGAATCAGCAGTCTTTTTTTTTTAGCCTGGCTGTCACCGTGTTGTTGAAGCAGAGTGTATTCCTCAGAGACGTATCAAAGCTCATTCTTCAAGAAGCTACTGGCTTTCTTTGGCTTCTGTCTTAGTTTTGAAAAGTTTGTTAATTTACTCTATAATGGCAGGGTGGCTTGTGCGTGACGTCGACACAGTTAATAATTCAAATCAAGAAAGGGTTGCACAGACCACTGGCGGTTGATGTCTCGCAAGAACAACTCACAAATTCATAAATGCAATCTGCATCCTCTGCTGAAAAATTTAGTTTCATTTATTTTGGATCCTCTCAAGCCTGTGCTTCATTTTTTTTTTTTCATTCCTGCCCTGCTTAAGATTATTATATATATATATATATATGTGTATGTATATGTAT